TACTTCCAGGTGAAGAAAAACAAAACAGAAAATGCCATCCTAAGGTGGAGCTTTTGAGCTACGCCTAGGGAGGCAGTTTATTAGGTGGAAAACAAGAAGTGAAGAGGAAGCAATTCAAAATGAAAGGCAGAATACACCGAAAAGCACAATTTGTCTGCTTCTGTCTCTTTGGGGCTTTTTCCCTCTTTGTAACGTTGGGCTCTAGACCAAAGTTTATGTTTGGTGTTAGAACTGATCCCCATGATTTATAGACCTTGACAAAAGGGCACGTGGTTTCCAATGTGTCCTTTTGATGCAATTAAGGAAGATGATGTATGTCATGTAATAGAGGTTCTGATGTACAATCTTGCTTTAGGTCCAGTAAAAATAGCTTTGTTTCATATTTTGTTTTGTTTTCTACCTGGGGTTGTGTTAGAGAACAGCTGCTATGCATTCAAGACATCCACTCAAAACCAAGCCCACTGCCATCAAGTCGATTTCAGCTGATAGCAACCCCACAGAACAGAGTAGAACTGCCTTATAGGGTTTCCAAGGCTGTAAATCTTTATGGAAGCAGACCGTCACATCTTTCTCCCTCGGAGTCGCTAGTGGGTTTGAACCACTGACCTTTTGGTTAGCAGTCAAGTGCTTTAACCACTTGCCGCCAGGACTCCCTTAAGATAGCCCCATGGGGTGAATTCCCACTACTACAGAAGCTGGCAGCCCCTAGTTCCTATTCCACCACTCGTCTGTCAGTGTTTAGTTCTATTGTACATATGGCCGCTATGAGTTGGAACTGACTTAAAGGCACCTAACAGCAACGAGAAGTTTCTTTTACCAAAGCCAGTTGCTGTGGAGTCGATTCCAAATCATGGCAACCTCATATATTTCAGACTAGAACTGTGCTCCAAAGGGTTTTCAATAGCTGATTTTTCAGAAGCAGATCACCTGGCCTTTCTTCCAAACCTCCAAACTTTCAGTTAGCAGCCGAGCACGTGAACCGTTTGCACCACCCAGGAACTT